TGGACTGAGCGCGGTGCTCACCCGGCCGCTGCCAACTGCCCGCAGCCCGCCCTGCCCAGAGCCTGCGCGGGCGGGGACCCACGCCCCGCACTGGGCGCGCGTGCGCCGGGCGGAGTCTCCCGATCTACCCGGCCCCTGACTGCGCCCATTCCCCTCAGCCTGGGGAGTGCGAGGGTCTGCAGTCTGCCTGCCCCAGCGCTCAGCCACCACCGGGAGGCACACCGGAGGCTCCTGATGAGTGTGCGAGCCCCCTCGGTGGGGCAGGGCACCCTGCGTGAGGGTAACTAACAGCAGCGGCAGCTCCTTTTCGAGCGCGCTGCCCCACCCCTGCCCAGACTGGGCGATTTCAAGCACCCCTGGTTCCATCTGCCCCTCGGATAAATACGGGGGTGCTGGTCTGCATTTCCAGCTGAGGCAGGCAACTGAAGCCAGATAAAATGGGTGACAATATATGGAAGAAGCTGAGAGTTCCCCCCACCTCCCCAACCATCTGCCCTCTTGTGTGTTGGGGGGGGCGGGGGTAGGGCGGGGAGGCAGGAAACCCCGGGGACCAACAGAGGCCTTAGCAACACAAGCCACTGGTGTCGCAGTAACAGGCCGGTAAACGAGGCTGCACTGGGCTTGGGACAGCCAGAGTTCCTTTTGCCTATGGAGCGTGGGGCAGCCCCAGGCCCCAGGCCAGGGGCCCCATCTCGGGCCATCAAGAATGTAAGTCCTCCCAGAACGCTGCTGTTTCTGCCATGGGGTTGAGGTCCTCCCTGGCCCCTCAGGGACCAGAAGGGGTTGCAGGTACCCATGTCCTGGGCCTGATCCTGACCGTGAGTCTGGCTTCCCCACCTCAGCTAGGCTGAGTATGTGGGGGTGGAAGTGGGGGGTCACAGCCTAGGCCTGAGACCCACCTGGGGGATGGGTGGTGGTTCCTCCCCAGGTTCTACCACTGACTGAGGATTGGCTGCCAGAAGCCTCTGGGGGTGCCCCAGCCTGGGCTACTAGTCTTAAGACAGAGCTACCCTCAGATCTAGAACTGAGTGAGGAGCTGCGGCTGCAGGTGAGTGTGGGGGCCCTGAGGAGCTAGCAGGAGGGAGGGTGCCCACAGGATCCTACAGGTACCACCTCTCACCCCGCCCACCCACAGATTTCCAAGGAGCTGGTTGACCTGCAAGTCACAACCCATCGTCTGAGGGAGCAGTACGAGGCTGAAATCTTTGAGCTGAAGAGTGAGGTGGGTACTGATGTGTGCCCAAATGTGCCAGCCCAAGTGCTTAACGGGGTGCATACCTAGGACCAGTGCTGTGAAGGGTGCAGATGTGCCCCATGTGACAGGGCACTCACATAGTATCTGAGTCCCTGAATGTCCTGCAGGCACTGTGTGTCCATGTGTGCTCAGATGGATGTTAATCTCGATGTTGATCTGTCCCAGCAGGCAGGTGCACCTACTCACCCTGGTCACCCCACAGGTGCTGCGGCTGGAGAGCCGAGTGCTGGAGCTGGAGCTGCATGGAGACCATGCAGCCCCAGCAAAGACTGATCCCAGGCATCTCCAGGCATTTGCACAGGAGCTTGAGCAAAAGGCCAGGGGTCAGGGACACTGCAACTATCGCATCCTTCAGGTCACCATGAGCTCATGGAGGTCCTGGGTGGGTGGGAGCCAAGTAGGGGTGCAGCAGGGGTGCAGTGAGACTGGGACTCCCTCTCTGGTACAGGCACAGCCCAAGGACTCCCGGATTCCTGAGAACGAGCTGCAGAAGTTGGGAAATGGCGTGAGTGTGCAGCCACCTAGCCCGGGGGCCTGTCCTGGTTTCTGCCAGCCCAGGGTTGGCGTGGGGCAGTGCAGGGGACCCAGAGCTTGGAATCTCATCCAACCAGCCCTGTGTACTCCACAGCTACAGGGAGAAGTGAAGTGGGTGCTGGAGCAGCACAGGGCCCAGCAGCAAGCACTGCAGATGCACATGTAAGTGGCTGCCTTACCTGGCACAGTGCATGCAGCAGGTGTTCCCAAGGGGCAGAGAGAGTCCCCTATCCTGGACCCGACTGAGACTCACATTCATGTCTGCAGGGCAGCCCTTGGCCAGCAGCTGCAGGGAGCCCAAAAAGAGGCCAGGAAAGCTGGGCAGCAACTGGCTGCACAAGCCATGGTGAGGCCCAGCCATACTCACTTTGAGATCTGGGAGGTAGAGGTCCTATAAGCTTAGTAGAGGTCCACCTCAAGAAGTACAGGTTCAAGGGTGTCTCCATCCCCAGGTGTTGTCCACCTGCCAGGGCCAGCTCCGCCAGGCTGAAGCCGAGAATGCCAAGCTGCAGCTGCAACTCAAAAAGCTGAATGAGGAGTACACCATCCGGCTGCAGCGCTGCGCCCGAGCCCTGGTGGTGAGCACTGGGCAGGGTGGCCCTGTTGTGGGTGAGAGGCCTCCAGGTCTTGAAGAGCCCAAGCCTGGCCTGGGTTTGCTGGACTGCTTCAGAGGCCCTTTGGGCCTCACCTGCAGCACTGAAGGACCTGCTCCACAAAGGGGGTTGTGGGGAGGGGTGTGGGCCCTACCAAGTCCAGGCCCCACCCCATCTCCTCCAGGAGTATGCAGATGGTGCAAGCCAGGCACCTACAGCAGTAGCCCTTCGGACATTCCTGGAGACCACTCTGGAGGACATCCGAGCAGCACACCACAGCCGTGAGCAACAGTTGGCCCGAGCTGCTCGTGTCTACCGCAAACGCCTGGCAGATCTGAGCCAAAGGCATCAGGAACTGTTAGGTGCCTACAGGTAGGCCCTTCCCCTGGGATGGGCATCTGGGGTAGGGTGGCTCTACATGACCTCCTATGTGATTTAGTGTGCAGCAGGTGCTGGTGGACCCCAATGGGGCTCCTGGGATCCCCAAGGCTACCTCTGATGCAGTCATCTCGGACCTGGAGCCACTGCCTCTGCACCTGGTCACGGAGCTTGGCCACCTTAAGGAGGACCAGACAAAGCTGAAGACACAGCTCCAGAAGCTCCAAGTCCAGGTGACCCCTCCCTGCTGCCCCACACTGGCCTTGGGGCACAGAGCCCAGAACTCACCCTGGGGCACATCCCAGGCTCAGCAAAGCCCCCACACGAGGGCCTCTGAGCAGCCCACCTTGTACAGCTACTAAGAATCCCTATCACACAGCTTATCACAGATGACTCAGCACACTGCTCTTTTTCCTACAGAAGAGACCTGATGAAGCCTCCCAGGGGAGCACATCAGAGCCACGGTGAGTGCCCTGATGTGGGTGTTAGGGGGGCCTGCAAGGGAGTCATTCATTTATTCTACCAACTCTTAACTGCTGGGCAGGGTTCTGGTTGCAACAGTGAACAAGGTGGTGGGTCTGTGCCCTCTCTCGTGCCTGTCTGTATGGGAGACACTAATAATTACAGAAAAACTAAGTGCCTGGGGAAGAGAGGCCCTGACAGCAAAGGGGCTGACCTCGAATGGGAGGCTTAGAGAGAGTCTGGAAGATGTTTCAGTCAAGTCCAGAGGACAGGGCAGGAGCGGGCTACCTCCTCCTCACAGCCCTTGCCTCTGGGCCTCCATGCTTCCAACTGTGCGATGAGCAGGGGCTTATGCAGGCCCCCAGCATAGAGGGTCCCCCTTACAGACACTGGGATCGCTTTCCAAGCTGGCTTGTGGCTTAACTGTCCCTGAAGAGCCAGTGGTGCCCTCTTGGCCTGGGCTGCCCTGCCCCCCTCATGCACAGATGGCTCCCATAGTTGCAGGACTGGCCCATGCTGTCCTGAACTTGCCCCCAGCAGGCACCTCAAGTATTTAGGTGCCCCGACTTGAGCCAGGCCACAGGTCAGTTCCTGGGCCAACACCTGCCCTCATGTTGACCTCCCTTTTCCACTCATAGGAGCCTGGAAGCTGCATCCTGGGCCCAGATCCACCAGAAACTCCAGGACTACTATCGTGGCACCCAGGTAGTGAGGGGCAAGGCCTGGCCAGGGATCCCTCCTCATTCTCTGTTGTAGCTCATGGCTTATGCCCCTTCCATGCCAGGAAAAGCTGGAAAGGGAGCGGGCACAGCTGCTAGTTCGAGCCACGATGGCTGAGGCGCAACTTTCTGAGCTTCAGGAGTATGTGGACCAGCACTTAGGCAGGTTAGTTCTTGGGAAGGTGGGATGAGTGTGGATCCCAAACACAAGTTGCAGGGCTTGTCTACGGCCAGGCAGGTGACTAAGCCTAGTCCCTCCAAGCAGGTACAAACAGGAGATCCTGAGGCTGAGGAAACTGGTGGGTTCAGGAGACCCCCAGAAAGTGGGGGCCGCACCTCCAGCCAAGCCTCAGCACCCAAGGACCCGCAGCCGCTAGCCAGTCATCAGATAAAGTTGGAGCAAAACTCTTCCCCGCCAGCATGGAACCCTCCCCCCACAGCCCCACCTTGGGAAGTCGGAAGTCATTCAACCCAACCCTCCAAACAAGAATCAGGGTGGAGCTCACTGAGTCTTTATTATGTCCACATGATCAGCCAGTCTGAGGATCAGGGACCCTAGGGGCCAAGGCAGAACTGGGTGCTGGGGCATCCTGCCCAACTGGCCCACCACTGTGGATGTCATAGGCCCAGACACGGTCCATGCCCTCACCCACCACAGCCACAGGCTGCCAGGTGGGGAGGGGAAAACGTCCGGATACCACACGGGCCCCCTCTGGTAGTTCTGCCTGTAGCTTTCCCTCCAGCAGTGAGAGCTGTGGGAGAGAGTAGGAGAGTAGGGTGGGCAGGACAGAACACAACTGCCCCCTCCCAGCTCCTCCAGGCCCAGCACACACATTGGTGACCTGGGCCTCCCCGGGGGCTAGCAAACCCCAGACCTACCACGCTGGGGGCCAGGAACACAGACACGTTGTAGCAGTCCCTCAGGCTCACCTGTAGGAGGAAGAGGTCACCCCAGTAGGGAATGGAACTCCAGCCCTGGAAGAGGTCTGGTGGGCACGGGGTTACCTCAACTTCTGAGTGCCAACCCCCAGCCTACCTAGGAGGCAGGGGCACCTGGGGCTGTCATCTGGGTAGCCAAGCCAGAACTGGAAGTGTGGAGATCAGGTATGGGGCCTGAAGGGGTGCAGGACTCCCCAGGTTACCTTCCAGAGGTCCTCACGGTGGTAGCAGACACTGCCAGCACAGCCTGCTCTCCAGGCATACAGCCTCGCCAGCGCCACCAGCCAAGGGTTCAGCTCATAGCCCACAGCTGGGCGGAGACCGCATCTGTGGGCAGCCAGCACCTGTAGGCACCAACAGCGTCAGAACTAGCAGGTGGGGAGGTGCGCTGGCAGAAGAGCGCAGTGACGACGACCCCCCCCACCCCTCCCCCACTACTCACAATCCTGCCGTCGCCAGAGCCCAGGTCCACCAGCTTTCCAGAACGGCCTCGCAGCAGCGACAACACGTGCTCCACCTGCCGCACACTCGCCCCAACGTAGGGCACCTGGGCAAGGAGACGTGGCTGGGAGGGCTGGAGTCCAATGGCCACTCAGGCTCTTCACATGTCTGGTCCCCAAATCGGAATCCCTCTGATCGCCGGGCGGAGCCTGCCTCCTGGACTCCTTTCTTAGCACGGGTTGTCCAGCCCGACCTGAAACAGGTCCCAATCCACAGCCCGGCTGGCCCTTGAAACACAGGACTCACCCAGCTTCACCGCTACGGGCCCCGCCC